TCCTAAAAATAGCCATTTCAATAATGTTAGAGAAAAACAAATTTAAATTAACCACCTCCACATGGTCACAATCTCATCTCAAATTTAAATAAAAATATATTCAATGTATTATATTAAATTTTTAACATCTCCATTAATAAAAATAAAAATTTTAAGAAGTCATCATGCCTTATATATATTTCAAAATTTTGACTTTCTTGTGTAAAGCATTATGTTGCCTTGTAAAGAAAATTATCCATGTAGAGAATTGAATGATTCACTTTGAAAATTATGATTTGTTTTCTGTCTCTTTTGTTTAGGCTTTTCAAAATCCTTGCATGGAAAAAAATACAAAATTACTTGAAAATGATATTATATATTTACATATTTTTAAATATTGTAATAATATCAATAAAAAAAAACTCACCTTTTTCCTATTGTTTCTTGCACTTTAACCCAACACTAACTACACATGGCATGTGCTCTCACCGCACAAATAGCAGTAAACAAAATTGCTACCCGGCCCGCACGTATAAATTACTAAGTATAAGAACTTTTTAAAATATTATGCCTACCACTTTGAGATTTTGTGTTAATTTGAAAAAAAAAAATTATATTATAATGCATAACCAAATATTTTGGAAAGAGATAAAGATTTAATCTGTGACTAACACACTATAAATTATGGATAAAAATTATCTCTAGTAATGGATATAAAATCTTATTAAAAATTATGATTCAAGTTTATGATAGGGTGTAACAACAAATAAAAAGTAGAGGGATACTGAGATGGATTATAAGGATTAAGTAGCTATTGTACTTAAACTAATACTATTATTATTATTTACAAAAAATAATAAGAATAAAATAAATGATTTTACCTCAACATTATGAAAATAACAAATAAAAAGATCTCCAATGACAAGTTATTCTTCAAAATTATATAATTCTCTTAATCGATCATGAAAAATAGAGTAAGAATTTCAATTTTTTATAATTTTTTAATATTTAAATTGGTATAAAAATATTATTATTTTAATTGTCAGGAAACTATTTTAGAAGGATTCTGTATGCTTCTCCAATCTTTTTAGGATTTGTTTACTAATTTATTTTACTCTAATTTTAATTAATTTTTCCTAAAAGCCACAAATAATTCTCGACACCAAAGAGCACATTAGCACTAGGAACAAAAGGGCTGCTTGTTTTGTCGCAACCAATGTACTGATCACATGGCTAGTGACATACAATACATTGCCATCTTTTGTGCATGTTAATGACATCATTTTACCTTTTAATTATAAAGAAGGACTTTTATATGCATCAAATGCAATATAACATAATACAAAACATGAAAATTAATAAGTTTTAATTAACACTTATGCAAAGCACAAGCACAGTTTTCTTTTCCTATGTCAACTTCTAGACAAGGAGGCAAAATACTTTCATCTTTATACCAAGTTAAGCGTTTTGCAATCAACTCGTCCAAGAAAGTATTCAACATTTCAACAGATACATGTGGCATCAACAGCACATGTGAAATATTTCCTTGACAAGCCAACTGCCACTTTCGAATGAATTCCTCATCTTTAGGTCGTTCAAGCACAACAATAATGCTGCCTTCATTTAGCATTGCACTAATCCTAGCTTTGCTCAAGCATTCCTTTAGATAGCGAGCATTTTTTAAGCACTCCTCAACTTGTTTTTGGATCCATTTGTAACCTCCTTTGTTGAGTGCTTGCCAAAGGAAAATAGGAGCATGGCCATTCCGACTTCCCATGATTGTAGCATCCCGTGGGGCAATATACTCAATATTTCTTGAATGGAAATTAATGTAGTCCTTTCTTGTTATCAAAATACCACAAGTAATTGGACACCCAATAAACTTGTGCCCTGATATGGAGGCACTTCCAATGGGTTTCTTAAAACTAATAACCTTCTCTTCCTGTTAACCACCAAGAACAATATCATATTTAATTAAAAGCTACTGATGAAATACAAAATGTGAGATTTGAAATTATTACGCGCTTGAAATTATTATGTGCTTGAAATGCATTAACTTACACATGTCATGAAAGGTAAAATGATGCCACTCAATGCCCCATCGCAATGAATATAGAACCTATTTTGTGAAAATCCACTCTCTTTAAGAGTTTGTATAATAAGATCAATGTCATCCACTGCACCTTTCATAGTTGTTCCTGCAATAAACACCATTCCTCAAGACATTAAATTATTCCCGTCAAGAGCCACATACTCAATTCTTTCCTGTAAAGGTGTGTTTGTGTAAGTGTGAGAGACAAACCTATGTTAGCAACAACAATGGCAGGAAATTCTTTGTTAGCAAGGAGCTTAGTTTTGAAGTCATGATAATCAATCTCCCCACTAACTTGTGTTTCAACTTGGACCCACTTCATGCTAAACATATCTATTGCTTTTGCAACAGAGTAATGAGATTCCTTCGAGGCATATAAAATGCCATTGGGAAACATTTTTCTCCTGCAAAATCCATCATAATTGATTTTCAGCTTTTATATATAATATCTAAATAACAATAATTTGGCAACAATTAAAACTCACCCGGTAAGAATACCGTGGTGGTTGGCTTCGGTTCCGCCACTTGTAACGTAACCCCAGTATTCATTCTTCTCTATTTTCATGAATTCGGCAAACCAATCCAAGACACCAACCTCAAACGGCCTTGAATGAATACCAAAGTTACCGTCAGTAAAAGGGTCTCCTATATTATTAATGGGGAAACACAGCAACTGATTTAGGTTCTTGTAATCATATTCCAGATTACAAGGGTAGCCTGAAACAAGCATTAAGGAAAGCAATCAGGATAATCATTCCAACAATTATTCCAGCAATCAAGCCTTGTTATCTATAACAATCCAACCTATATTGTCCGCTTTTGTCCCTGAAACCGCACGATTTTAAAACAAGTGGATAGGAGGTGATAGTTATTAACGTATATAGCTAGCATCTGAGATCTCTCCCATATTTTGTCTCTTTGATCATTCATTCCAATCAAAGTCCAAGCCAATCTCATAGCATTATCAACCCTCAATAGTTAGAGCTGTAAATTGCAACCAAATTGAAGAAAAAATCATACCCAATTGGTGCTCGCTGCGGTCAGTGAGGTTCTTCTTGTAGGTAGCCATGGTGTTGGCTATGTAATCTTCTTGATCGTCCTTGTTGCCCTCAAAGTCTTTGATGGCGAAGCTTTTGAGCTCAAGATTCTTGGAAAGAATCTTCTGTCTCTTGGAGTTTACTCCTTCCGCAAATCCTGTGGTGGAAAATTCCACCACAGCCAAAGACTGGGCAGTGTTGGCGGGATCAAAGTTGTTCATTGTGTGTTGGAGATGAAAAAAGAGAAGTGAAGAGAGAAGTAAGAGATAAGTGAAGTGAGTGACGAACAAAGAAAGGAGTGCAAAGCGCCCGGCTGGAGATGAAAGAATAGGACTGTTGATGTGCTTGGTTGAAGAGGCAAAAAGTCGATGCAGGCCTGCTTCTGCAAATTGTCATTTAAAATAATCTGTCTTAATAACTGAACCGGTGCCCTATGTAAAGAGGAAGTTGAGACCTCCAGCCACTTGTTCTTACGTTGTCAAGTTGCATATTCCTTATGGGGCATGTGCTTGAAGTGGTGGGGAATGCAATCAGTTAGACCAGGAACTTGCTGGGAAGCTTTCTCTCAACATCTCGGACTAATTGAAGATAGGAAAGTTTTAAAAGGATGGGAGACTATTTGGTTTGCGTGTGTTTGGTCTTTATGGCTAACTAGAAATAGTTGTGTATTCAAAGGGAAGGAACCAGATGCTCAAAGGGTGTTTGATTGCATCCAAATCAGATCATGGGGAATGGTTGAAAGCAAAGAGCAAGAACTGGTCATGCTCATTGACAGATTGGCTATTAGCACCAAAAAATTGTCTAAAAGAGAAAAGGACGTGAATGCATAAGAATAGGAGTTTTAGGTTTAAATGAACATCTTCTGAAATTTTAGGGACTAAATTGCAAGAAGGAAGGCGCATCTTGTGGACCTAAATGAATGAATCTTGAGTTTTGGGATCTAAATGCTCATCGTACAAAATATGGAGGACCAAATGTGCTATTTTACCATTGAAGAAGTTGCAAAAGAGGATAGAAACCCGCACGGGTGTGGTGTCGACACATAATTTTGGTGTCGACACCATACGGCAAGCATCCAGAGTTTCTGTTTCCTGCTTTGTGTCACCAGATATTCTTGTAAATTTATGCCTTTTAAGTTAAAATGTTTATGGGTTTGGGGTACCCCTTATACTCCATTTTTTAAATAAATATTACTTTTTGTTGTTAAAAAAAACAAAAACTGAACTGGTGGTCAAAATTGGTGTAATCGATTAACTTAATAAATAATATTAAATTAATTTATTAATTATTAAAGAGAAGAAATGTATTCACACCAAAATTTTACACACTAGTCAAATACAAATTTTATACACCACACTTATGCAAAATTTCAATAATTCATTTTTTTCATTTTCAATGATTTAGATTTATTACAACTTTTTAGGTGAGAAATATAATTATCTTTAATAAATATGAATAAATTTCAATTATTAAAAGTAAATAAATGAATAATTGAAATTTTATATAAATATAATATGTAAAACTTGAATATAAGTGTATCGTACTCATTATTAAATCCTCTTATGGGAATGGTATATAATAGTGCTCACCTCTATAAAAAAAAAAAAAAAATTTTCAACTTCAAAAGTAATAATTGTTAACTAATATTTTCAAAAGTCAACTAAAAAACTAATAATCTATTTATGTAAATAATATATATCAATTTTTTTATTAATTAAATATATTTAATT